ACACTTCACAACAGTTAGAAATTTACTTCTTTTAAACTGAGTAGTACCAGCTGTCAAAAAGATATTTAAGCTGCTAAATTTGTAAAAATTCATTATTATTTAAGCAGGTGTCTACCCCAAACTGAAAAACATGACAAGGGATCTATGAGACAAAAAAGTTTAGGAACCTCTGATTTAGAAGTTTGGAAAATGCATTCCATTTCCATTTATACCCACATTAAACAAATTTGAGACAATGGCACTACCGAATTGATGAGGTTAGGTATGAATGAGTTAGAAATGGTGTTAGTTGAATCTCAAAATGACATAGAGCAGAAATATAAATTTGAAAGCTTGATCTCAGTTGTAGATAAGCACCAAAAATAGAAAAAAATCAAATGTTTGCGATATTTTTACCCAACAATTTTCTATGAAGAACCTTGTTAATGCTTTTTCAACAATATTTCGTTCAATAGATTCGTATGAAAAATTGTTTTCTTTAATGAATTTTGTAAAATTTATCAACACGTAAAATTGAAAACGAACTGAAAGCAAAATGCATTAAAATAATAAATATGGAATAATTAACAAAATATCTGAAAATAAGCAGCAACAAATTTAACAATAAATGTACTTCTTTGTGTGTTAACTTTTCCATACACACATATACATATCTCTAATTTACCTTTATTTTTTATTAATGTCTCCCTTTGAAGCTACATTATAGCTATGAGCGAAAGACGTCGTTATTCTGAGCCTCGGTCAATTGACAAAGAAGAGCTGATATCACTCTTTCCGTATACGTAATTAGATTCATTGGAAGTTTTTAAAATATTTGTGCTCTTTTTATTTTTATTTATTTAAATGCTCTGTACAAAAGCATCACCAAATATAGTGTCATCTGGTGCGGTAATTCATCCTATTATCAATTAAAAACAATTTTTTGAAGTGTTGACCTTTATTTTTGATTTTTATTTGAAAATATTGTAAGACAAGATGGAATTCGAATTTTTATAAAATTTTAAAAGTTATTTATATATATATATATATATATATATATATATATATATATATATATATATATATATGTGTGTGTGTGTGTGTGTGTGTGTGTGTGTATAGTCTAATTCTCTACAAACAAGAGATAAACATTCTCATCAAACACATTCGAAAATAACACAGAGATAGTAAGGAGAACAATGAAGGACACTAGTTTAAAAATTATAAAATGGATGCTGCAGTATTACAAACATTGCTGACTTAGGACAGCTAATACATAAAATACTTTATATAAAAGTGGGGTTGAACATGTTTTTTGGTCAGTCAACCTTCCCCCTTTATGTAAATATTACTGAGCAAAAACCTATTGAAAGTAATGGATAGGAATATCTAAATCCATTACAAAATAGAGGTAACTTACCTAAAAATTGCACTTGAAAATGCAGAGCTCGCACTAAATCTGAGTGCAATAAATAATTTGTTGCCAGATTCTGGACCCTAATGCAGATTCAAAGCATGTGAATGGCTGAAATGTAGCACTTAATAAAAGTATAAAAAGAATAGAAACAAAAGTTTATATATATATATAAGGTTAACCACCATGTTTTTCTGCTTACGAATTTTCAATTTATTGGTATCAATTTTAAGCTTCTCCCCTCCTTCCCTTCTCAAAGATTTAATGACCGGCGGGATGCTATTGAAAAATAAGAAATGGAATTTGACCCATTTCTGAAAAACATTCACCATCCATTTACTGTAGCTTTGTGTATAAATATGTTGCAATTTTGCGCTGTGTTTAAGAGGAACAAATCCATAATGATGAGAATAAAGTTTTCCTTCTATTGTCAAAAAATAAAAAAATATGCTCCTGGCTAGAATTCTTCAAAATGTTTTTAAGAAACTCTGAGAAGTCACAAAGTTCTTAATCTGTAGGAAGAGATTTTAGTTTTATCTTTGCAAGGTTAGGGGATTTAAAAAACAAGGGCGTAGCTGCAGCAGTATCAGTGATACCGGGCCTCCGAATCACAGGGGCGCCACATGAGAAACATTTTGAAACTTTCAAATAAGTTTTATTAATGTGATAATTTTTACTTATTTTCTAAAAGCGCCTGAGGAATTTTGCTACAGGGCCCAATCAAGACTATCTACGTCAATGTTAAAGGCAGTCTACATTAGCCCTTGACCTGGTAGTAGCTAGTCGTTAGAAAAAAAATTAATTTCTTTAAATATTGTTTTTTTTTGTTTCTTTAGACTGTATTATAAATATTTTCAGAATTTGTACGTCATTTTATTCATGATCTAAAAATGTTTCACTCCAAATTAAAATACAAATCAATTGGAATTGATAGCATTTTTAAATTCCTACTAATAGTCCAATCTCTCTCCCTATATATATATATATATATATATATATATATATATATATATATATATATATATATATATATATATATATGAGTCTTGTTCAAGTTTGCAATCGTTAATAAAATACTTTTTCTATTCATCCATCCCAAGTTCAAATACATTTTTTTTAGACTTGTGGAGTGAATAACACTTGATGTTAATATAGTTTTTCAAAAAGAATCCTAAATTAAATTAAACAAGTAATATAAAATAAAATTTTGAATTCAATTCCGACTTGGGTCAACAAAGAAAAATTTTCTTTTATTTACTTTTTATTGAATAGTTACAATTAATATAAATATGTATATACATGTATCAGAAGCCCAATATTAAGTGACAAAATAGAAAGCGATTTTCCTTGCAATTTTCCATTTTTCTTTCTGTATTTGGTGTTGGACTACGCTGCGGTAGCCCAGTGGTCAAGGTATCGGATCATGGCAGCAGGTCATGAGTTCAAGCCCAGTACCACTAAAGCCTCGCCGTGTAGGGGAGCGATGCACGTTAAGTCTGTAGAGAGCGTCCTCGTCACTTGGCTATGATTCAAAATTACAAGCTTGGACGCCAAAAGCCCCCGTGTAGCTGAACAATGCGACGCACAGTGGGCAGTTTCCGCCAATCTGGCGCCCGGAAATTATTTTGTGACTTTAAAGTCTTCACAATGATCTAAAATCATAGTAATTAATGTAAATTGGGTATATTCTTTTCTCTGTTTTTTACTAACAAATAAGGTTAATAGGGTCTTGACTAATTTATCTCAAGTTTGAATTTTATCGAGAATAAATTATTGCGAAGTGGAACTAATTTTTGAACAAGGATCTAAGGATATTAAGGGAAGCAGTAATTTACACGTGGGAGAATATAAACAAGAAATAGTGTGGCAAGTTAAAAAAATTAAATTTAATAATTGTTAAAAATTAAACAAATACAATCAAACATAACATTGTACATATACAATAAAGGATAATAGGTAGTGATTAAAAGGACTCGGCACCCTTTGAGCATTTTTTTTTATTTTTTGTATTTAAAAATTACATTTTAGCATTTCATATTGATACGAGATAAAAATTTTCATATTATTCACACAATTTTACAAATTTAATTTCTTTTAAGAAATTTGGAAATTTTTAAAGTTCTATTCTTTTTGTGTTAATTAATTTTTTGACGTGAAATTTTTGTAATATTTCTGAGGATGTTTTAAGCTCCTTTAGGGATCGATTTTACAATACCTTAATTAGTTTTGGAGAAAAAAATAATAAAATGTTGATATATGTATATATATATATATATATATATATATATATATATATATATATATATATATATATATATATATATATATATATATATATATATATATATAATGCTAAAATTCAACCAAAAGCCTAACATTTCCCACATTTAATTTTTTTTTAAAAAAAGAAGTATTCAATTTACAGTAAAATGGATCCCTAATTTGTTACATGGATTACATATAAGACAGGGGAAAAAATGGAAGCGATTGGTAAAAATATAACTGTGGGAGATGTGGTATTTTGAATGTGGAAAAACACAAACCGAGAAAAACCATTTTAAAGTTTGATTCCGAAGAAATAATTATTATAAGCTTAAATAAACACAAAATATACCACACTAGTATATATTTTTCTTAAAAATAATAAAATATAATATTTATAAGTCTTACTCCCTCCCCCCCCGACAACTATGCATCATTCGACTTGAGAAGAACTTTTCATTTTTATGGCACCTCGTCCATTTTTCTCCTACAAACGAGCAGAAATTTTTTACAATTTTTCTAAATTTTAATTGCTGCTGGCCCTTATATTTATTAAAGTCCGTTGTAGTCCTAACAAAACTCAAAACAACATAAGTTTTACACACTAGTATTTTGCTCTTCCTTCCATACATTGAATAAGGCTCACCGAGTAATACCATCGGCCAACGCTGAAAAAAAATCATAATTTTGGGAGTAGTAGGTAGTAGCAGCTAAACTTGGTATAAAATTAAAGGTCTATATCTACTCTATGTGACTTAAGTGTTACTGTGATCAATCCATGTCAATCCCAAAAGTTCTACTCCAACAAACACAAAAAAGCCACATATGTTAGTAGGAGTTACGTGCTGTGCTAAATGTTATATTTTTACAATTTTTAATCAAATTTGAACCTAATTTGAAAGTCAAATGAAGAAATTAATTACCCATGGCATGTATTAAAAAAAACTCTTAAATCTGCAAAATCTTTTTCAGACAAAACGATTGAACTTCTTACTAGAAAATGACGCCCACAAGTGTTTCTTGTAGCAAAAAGAAACCCAATCTAAGCCACTGATTGTAGAATATTTCCATTCGCGTACTCACGGAAAATGTTTACTACAGGGCTAGGGAGCATATGAGGACCATAAATAGTGGGTTGTTTTTTTTTATCTCGCGCTATTTCATTTTTTCGACTTTCCGAGCGCTAGATTGGAAAAACTGCCCACTGTGTGACGTTAATATTCACTCATTCACTCATCGCATGGGACTACTTTTTTTTGTTTGTTACTATTTATTCATTAATTAAATTGAATTAATCTAATAAAATAGTACAGTAAAAAAGAGAACACATTCTCAGAAATTAGGCCATCGCAGGTGGGATTCGAACCCACGACCTTCGGATTAGAAGTTCAACGTGCCAATGCGCTTCAGCGACACAACAAATGATTTTCCTTTCTATATATTGATGCAACGCCCGGTTAACTTAAGTTAATTTAATTTATTCTTATTATCCGTTCTTTAGTACCCAGGTTCTAAATTAACATTTGGCGTCACACTATAGCTTAAATTTAGACATTAATCATTAAAGACAAATAAAACGGACACTAAATTAAAAAGCCTTCTTTAAATTACACTTAATTTATTTACAAAACATTTAAATTACGTTAATTACTAAAGATATACATTATCACTTAACTGAATTAGGATCTGAGAGAGAGAGAGAGGAATCTTGGTGTGCCATCTCGGGAGTCTCCAACCTCGGCAATTTGTCAAAGGGTCGTCAGACCAAAATCGGTGATAAAATTTGTGTCAGAGAGTGACTAAATTCGTCGTGCAAGCGCTTATATTTCGCGGCGGTTTACCTATGTATTCTGGAGAGGATTCTTTTTCGAAACACAATCAGCTTTTCTGATTGGTCTGAAGTCAGCGGAGGGATATCTTCCGGGGTCCATGACTCCCCAAAACGCGGGAAATTCCCAAAAAAACATCCCATATCATGATGAATTTATGGGTACATTGCCTTCTTCCAGGCGTGGGAACTGCGTCACCCTTTTTCGGTGGGGTGAGAGGCACTCCCAGAAATTCCTCTGCTTGTAAACAACAACAGGGCCGATATACAAATTACTGTTGTAATCCTTATGGAAAGGCGGCCCCCATCACTCCTCCCCTCTCTCAGATTAACAAAACCAAAATGAATAATAATAAAAAAAAAAAAATTTCAGTAAGCAAACGAAATACAGAATTGGCCTAGCGTCGGCAAATGTCTATGTCAAGAACAAAATTTGTAGACTCCTGGTTCACTATCAGCTGTCCACGTCTTATGAGGGGTTCTGTCCATGTTCATCCCTGATGTTGGCAACTCCATCGTCGCTCAGATATTGCTAAAGAAATCTGCTAAACTGCAAAAAAAAAAAAAAAAAGAACAAAACCTTGTCTCCCAGGGAAACCATATTAGTAATGAAACAACAGTTATGAGAAAAAAAAATTAAACTTGGCCCTTTGTGACTACCCTTGAAGACTCCAAGCACCAATTTCCAACTCCTCTCACCGCTCATAAAATGAAAATAAGAATGTTAAAAAAATACAATCAATTTCTGACCTAACCTATTCCGTGAGGGAAAACCAAATGAACTATCAACAACTACAATGACGTTAATGTACGAAGAGGAGAAAAAAAAATTTTACTGAATGGATCACCCAAACAATTCACAAAAACATCAGACACAGACTGACAAATAGAAATAATTAAACAATCACAAAGAATCGTGTGCCACTAAATAATAAAAATATTAAGACAAATAACACGTAAGAATACAAAATTGGCGTATGTAACAACTGCGCAACTAATAAAACAACACTTAGGAGTGTTGAACAAAATACATTGATAAGAAATAAACGCCAGTGAAAACATTTACATACAATTCAAGCGTGGCGCTCAGAAACAGACACTTCATAATCGTTTAACATCGAAATCTTGACACGACCAATGTGAAGTGAAAATCCCAGACCATCAAAAAAAAAAAAAAAAAAAAAAAACTAGCAGAACTCTTTACATACTCAAGCGTAAAAATTTCAATGGTTCACTAAGAGCATTGATAATATTTAATGAAAATAATTGAGTAAAAGTAAAAAATTAGAGATTGAAACGATGAGTGTGCATAAGTGGAGAAAAAAAAAATTTGTAACTTCATAGAATGCTTGGTAGCCTAAGAAATTAAAAAAAATTCACTAAAAGCATTGGTTACAAATAAAAGTTTTAAAAAAAAAATTTAACGGAATTAATTCAGATTTGCAAATTAAAATTTTATAAATTAACTAATCGTATAAATGATAAAAAAAAAAAATATAACCTGCAAGAATGCTGAGTAGCCTAAGGAATTTGAAAAAAAAATTCACCACTAGCATTGGTTACAAATGAAAGTTAAAAAAAAAATACTGTAATTAAATTTAGAATTGCAAACTATGAGTGCGCATGTGATCAGTATGCACCCCCAAAGTGTACAAAAGCAAAACAAACAAAACATAACATCCCATTTCCTGCGATATGACGATCGCCGGCAACCGCCAACACAAGAAACAGAGTGCAGAATTATAACTAAAAAAAAATAGCAAATCTGATTGTAAAAAAAAAAACTATATCGATTAATATTGTTTAAAAGAAACTTTAAAAAGAAAAAAAAAATTCTTCCACATTCAATACATTTGAATTTCCATTTGAGAAATGAATTCCAGAAATCACAAGTGCAGTTGAAAATTTCAAAAAAAAAAATTAAAAACATAAAATTGATATGCAACCCAAGTCATATGAGGCGATACATACAGAGTAAAGTAATTTAACTAAAAGAAAATTATTGCAAGTGTTACACAGAATTAAACAGTTTCCAATATAAAAAAAAATATCGCTTAACTAATCAACATAACTTTTTAACAATCCTCGTAATACAATGTATCCACAAGTCCAAATAATATAAAAAAAAAAACTAAAATTGTTTCACTATACGCGCAAAACTATACAAACACGAAAAAAAAAAAAAACACAAGATCCTCGATTTACAACAATACCGCTAACTCAATTCATCGAAAATCCTTTAATTAATAACTCAAGTACAATTCTATAACAACAACCTAAAATTCTCAGTAACCTTAAAATGATTCCTCGATAATCCAAAATTGCCTTTACCTCAGATCGTTCACATCTTATGCCTCAACAACACTAACTAAACTCATCTGCAACTACCGAATAATCAATTGACTGCTCCACAATACCATTAACTAAAACCATCTATGCTCCTCAGCTTATGTACACAAAATCTCATATACCCAATAACACTAACTAGACTTATCTGCAACATCCGAATAATTAATCGACTTCTCCACAATACCATGAACTAAAACCATCTATGCTCATCAATTTATTTACACAAAATCTCACATACTCAATAACACTTAACTAGACTTATCTTCAACTTTCAAATAATTAATCGACTTCTCCGCAATATCAATAACCAAAACCCATCTTAGCTCATCAACTTATTCACAAAAATCTCGCATAATCCTCCACTCGAACTTTCCTGAATGCATCTCAAAACATTCCTAAATATACCACACAACCATTAATTCAACTTATCCATGTTCATCAACTATTTACTCGGAACTGTACCAAATCATTAACTCAAATTATCCTATCTACATCAAAACAACTTTCTCAATTATACCGTATAATTATATCAACTCAATATTTCCTTTGCCCAAAATCCGTAACTCAAAATATCCTTCTGTACATCAAACAATTTTCTCAAATAAACCATGACTTTCCCTTCAATTCAATTATCCATTTCCATAAAAAAAACAACTATCGAATAAACGTACACTTTGAACACAAACTTAACTATCTCCATAAAAAAAAACCTTCCCAACCATTCAACAAATTCATCAGTGCAAACTTTATCGATCTCCTTCAAATAACTGTCTCAAATATTCCACGAAATCTCTTAACTCAAACTTATGTAACTCCTTACAAGTAGTGAAACAACAACAAAAAAAAATTCACACCCAATCCTATTCCAACATTTTCAAACCCTCATAGCAACAGCACCGTAACGTAAAAACAGGAAACAAGGGGGAAAGAAACGAAAACCCATCGGAAAAATTTTGCTGAATCTCTGTCGCGACAGCAGTGGGGGGGGGCGAAGGGAAGACCCCTCCTAAGGCGGCAAGAATCCGACATCCAAAAATTTCACCCCTGAATTATGCTGCCCGTGGGGAGGAGTCCCTGCGAAAAGGAGTAACCAATAAACAGAAATTCCAATCAACAAACAGTGTCCCGCCCTAGACTAGATGGCGCGTGGGGGGGGATACCGGACAAAAGGGGTGCGGAAAAAGCTCTCCCCACGTTTTCGAAACGAATGGACGAAACATTTTCACACCATTAGATGACCAACAACAAAAAAAAAAAAAAAAACTTTTTTTTTACCAAATAACAAGCAGAACTACGTACTAAAATCCAGAACAAAAAATTGAATCAACGTCAACACTCAGTGAAATAATCTACCCGCACTGACATATTTCAACACATGTAAACCTAGCCCCAATCGAGAAAAAAAATACAATATCGACCGACCAAAAAATCAAAACTCTTAGTAGTTTAGCACACAACCGAGACACTTATTGACTGCAAATTCATTTAACAACCACAGTTAATCTAAACCAACAGAAATACTATCCTGACAAACAAAACCTTCAATTCCTAGTACAGTTTAGCACATTAATTTAGAACCACAAGTAATCTAAACCAATGATACTATCTCGACAAACAAAACCTTCAATTCCTAGTACAGTTTAACCAAGCGAGACACAATTATTGACTGCACATTAATTTAACAACCACAATTAATCGAAACCAACAGAAATACTATCGCGACAAACAAAACCTTCAATTCCTAGTACAGTTTAGCACACAAGCGAGACACAATTATTGACTGCACATTAATTTAACAACCACAATTAATCGAAACCAACAGAAATACTATCGCGACAAACAAAACCTTCAATTCCTAGTACAGTTTAGCACAAGCGAGACACAATGATTGACTGCACATTAATTTAACAACCACAATTAATCGAAACCAACAGAAATACTATCGCGACAAACAAAACCTTCAATTCCTAGTACAGTTTAGCACAAGCGAGACAATGATTGACTGCGCATTAATTTAACAACCACAATTTTAATCTAAACGCCTGAATAAAGCACAAAAAAAAAAATTCCAAATCTATAGCAAAACAAACAACGCAGAAATTAGAAGAGCATTAAGACATCTAACGGCAACACACAAAAAAAATTTTAGTCAAAGTTAGCAATCATCTCACATAAAAACAAACAACATGCGCGGGAAAAAAAATATTAAAGTTTCAACCCAATATCTTATAGAAAATATTCAAACAACCATCTCTATCCATATCTTAACAAGCATAAATTCCAATGTTATCATCATTTAGTAATACACAACCACTTAAAATTAATACACCAACACAATTTAGCAATAAAATTGATTCTAGCAAAATGCTGCTACCAAAAAATTAATCTTCTACGCAAAATTAAAATTTTAACCAGAAAGTACAGTTATAAACAATCAATTCAGCATAAACTAAACAATTCAATAAAGGAACCTTTTATATGAAAAAATTATTGAAATTCTAGATAATAATCACAAAACAAATTATGTAATAGGGAAAAAAAAATTTAAAATATGTATGTATCATAACAACATTCAAATTTCATGACAGGTGTCCAGAGACCCCAAAATTTGACCTTTGTCACAAACATAAATTAAAGCTTAAAATTACTAAAATTAAAAAATTGACGTACGTACATCATTATCATTGAATAACACTTGCATTACAAATTTATTTAAGATAGTGCACAAAACACACAGCATGAAAATATTTTATCTAGAGTTAAAATTGATATTAACCAAACAAACACTATGTCATTTAAGCATAAAATCAAGACATAAAACAAACTGCATAAAAAAAAATTTAACTGGAATTCATTAAATAACAGGAAATTATTAAATAAATGAGTACAAAATTTGATATAACTGAAAAAAAAAACATAAAACATAACATGAAACAAGGTGCAACTATGAGACAGGTATCATTCAATGCGTGCTCTCGAAATGACGAAGCGTAAAATTGCAAAAAAAAAAAAAAAAATTAAGTCTCCCTCAAATATTTTAGCGCAGAAACGTATTTAACGAGCCGAATTACCTGCACGAGCCCTTAAATTATACCGCGGACTTGGAACAATACCCTTAACTCTAGCGTAAATACATGCATAGAGAAAAAAAAATTCACATCAATATTGAAAGAGAAAAAAAAATTAAAGAGCACAAGTACCTGCGTCATCGTTGCACCCCGGACTCTCTGACAAAACTGCAAGAAAAAAAATTCACAGTATCAAATTCAAGCAATACATAAAATACACAGTAGCACACGAGATGAAAATTTGTCCTGATGATCCATCAAGAAACGTTTACAAAAAAAAATTTCTAACTCAAAGGATGTAAAAAAAAAATTTTCTAACGACAAAAAAATTTTAAGATTCTGGTCAACTGGCACCATTATGATGGCTGCAAAAAAAAAAAAAAAAAAAAATTTAAAATCCTGGTTACGGTACCATTATGATGCAACGCCCGGTTAACTTAAGTTAATTTAATTTATTCTTATTATCCGTTCTTTAGTACCCAGGTTCTAAATTAACATTTGGCGTCACACTATAGCTTAAATTTAGACATTAATCATTAAAGACAAATAAAACGGACACTAAATTAAAAAGCCTTCTTTAAATTACACTTAATTTATTTACAAAACATTTAAATTACGTTAATTACTAAAGATATACATTATCACTTAACTGAATTAGGATCTGAGAGAGAGAGAGAGAATGGTGTGCCATCTCGGGAGTCTCCAACCTCGGCAATTTGTCAAAGGGTCGTCAGACCAAAATCGGTGATAAAATTTGTGTCAGAGAGTGACTAAATTCGTCGTGCAAGCGCTTATATTTCGCGGCGGTTTACCTATGTATTCTGGAGAGGATTCTTTTTCGAAACACAATCGGCTTTTCTGATTGGTCTGAAGTCAGCGGAGGGATATCTTCCCGGGGTCCATGACTCCCCCAAAACGCGGGAAATTCCCAAAAAACATCCCATATCATGATGAATTTATGGGTACATTGCCTTCTTCCAGGCGTGGGAACTGCGTCACCCTTTTTCGGTGGGGTGAGAGGCACTCCCAGAAATTCCTCTGCTTGTAAACAACAACAGGGCCGATATACAAATTACTGTTGTAATCCTTATGGAAAGGCGGCCCCCCATCAATATGCTGTTAGACTGTTATTTTTGTTTGTTAATATTCATTCATTTTTTAATTTAATTAATGAATTAATATTTTAAGAAACGTATTAACATTATTTTATGAAGACAAAGACGTTCAATTACGCCTTTAAAAGTTCTGGGAATGTTTAGAGTTTGCAGTCTAAATTACGGAGGTCTTTTTTAGGAGGAAAAAAACGCTGCGTCCTGCCCCTGCGTTTCCTGTTTATATTCAGAATACCATGGTGCGTGGGAGTAAAGTTTTAGTTTAATAGGTAACGTGGGAAAATAAAGCGCAAACTCAACTGAAGCGTAACGGTAATAGTATGACCCCCCTGCAAAGTCAGGTTGGTTTAAATTGGATCTTAGCCTAAAAGACAATAATATTTCAATTGTTTTTGCATTTGTTCGAAGACGCATTGCGTTCTTAGAAATGAGCAGACCGATTGGCTAACAAAGGTTGCAAAGAAGCATGAAATTGACATTGCCCTTGAAACTCCTAAATTATTTTACAAGAAGGTCACGAAAGTAAGAATGACGAAGTCTTAGAACGAACAATATCTCATTTCAAATAAAGGAAGCTTAACAAAGAATCTTTTCCAACTATTAATAAGAGATTGTCATGCCATCCTTTTTATGCTAATTACAAAACAAGTAATATTAAAGAATTTCTTTTAAGTCAGTTCCTATCTAGGTCAACAAAGAAAAATTTTATTTTAGTTATTTTTAATAAATAGTTACAATCAATATAAATATGTATATACATATGACAGAATTACAATATTAAGTGACAAAATAGAAAGCGATTTTCCGTGCAATTTTCCATTTTCCTTTCTATAAATGGAGTTGAACTATTTTGTTTGTTTGTTACTATTTATTCATTAATTAAATTTAATTATTCTATTAAAATAGTATAGTAAAAAAGAAATCACACATTCTGAGAAATTAGGCCACCCCAGATGGGATTCGAACCAACGACCTTTGCATTAGCAACCTTGCAACAAAAATAATAGTTCAACAGCATATATAGAGAGGAAAAGCGTAATCTGTACCCCAATAGCGCAATGGATAGCGCATTTGACTTCTAATCCGAAAGTCGTGGTTTCGAATCCCGCTTGGGATGGAATAATTTCTGAGAATATGATTTCTTTTTTTACTATACTATTTTATTAGAATAATTAAATTTAATTAATGAATAAATAGTAAGAAACAAACAAAATAGTTCAACATTTATAGAAAGGAAAATGGAAAATTGCACGGAAAATCGCTCTCTATTTTGTCACTTAATATTGTGATTCAGTCATACGTATATACATATTTATATTAATTGTAACTATTTAATACAAAGTAACTAAAATAAAATTCTTCTTTGTTGACCTAAGTAGGAATTGACTTTTTTAAATATATATATATATATATATATATATATATATATATATATATATATTTATATTACGTGTTTGTATAACGAGAATATTATTTTTTACATTTAAGGTGAATACATTCCTTAATAAATCAGATTGGAAAAATGAACATGTAATATGAGTGTATACAGATGTGTGTTTTTTCCGAACAGAGATCATTTGAAATTAAATATATTTTCATCGTTTTTTTAATTTCATATGCTAATAATTATTAACATTTTAGAGTGGAATTCTTCGTCTTTAAGGTATCCGACTACGTTCGGAACAGTGATTTTGCAAAGCGCATAAATGGATAATTTTCATGATATTTAGTGTCACTTAGATTAGAATATATGCATAAAATTATTTTAAGGACATTTTGACAAAAAAAAACCCTATTTAAATACAATATTTTGGCAAAAAATGAACTTAGAATAATTTTTTTCCAAATGTTTTCCTTTTGTGAAAAATTGTTCTATTAGAATAATATTTTGCCTGTATATACCTCAGACCTCTCTACAGAGGCTCAACTAGAATTTTTGAAATATATAACTTAGAAGTGAGTTTATTCATATTTTACGACAACAGAGAGGAGCAATTTTAAGAAAAACACGCCAATAATTATTTCAATGGGTGGTAACTCTGAAAATAATGTGAATTTTTCAAAAATTCTAGTTGAGCCTCTGCAGAGAGGTCTGAGCTATATACAGGCAAAATATTATTATAATAGAACCATTTTTCACAAAAGGAGAAAAATTTGGAAAAAACAGATTATTCTAAGTTAATTTTTTGCCAAAATATTATATTTAAATAAAAAATTTTGTCAAAATGTCCTTAAAACAATTTTTTGCATGTATTCTAATCTGAGTGACACTAAATATCATGAAAGTTATCCATTTATGCGCTTTTTTAAAATCACGGTTCCGAACGTAGTCGGATACCTTAATACAATAACCTAGCAGTAAAGATTGTAATTTTGTTACTAAAATATTTTCTATTATTTGCAAAATATGTAGATAAATTTAAATAATTTTTCCTACTTAAAGAGAAAATATTGAATAATATATTATCCTTCTAATTTTGTAAGGTAGAACAGAGTTTTAAAGCAAAATTTAAATTTTACTCTTATCAAACATCAAATTAAATTGATCGATACTTCACAGTTTCACCAAAAGAAAAGAAATAGCTTTCAAGAAAGTTCTTACTTTATAAATATGGTTACTAATCTTTCGGAACTATTTTTATATATATTAAGAGGACTTGGTACCCTTTGAACTACTTTCTTTATTTATGTATTTAAAAATTATATTTTAGCATTTTTTGTAATGTTTCTATTCAAGAAAATCATACGAGAGGAAATATTTTTCACATCTTTTTCACACAATTTTAAAAATTTAAATTTTTTTAAGTAAATTTGGAAAATTTCAAAATCTTACTCCTTCTGTAAATATTAATTTTTTGGCTTGAAATTTTTGTAGTATTCTTATGGATGTTCTAAGCAACTTTAAGGATCGATTTTACAATAACTTAATTCGTTTTCGAGAAAAAAAATGAAATGTTGATAAGCATTCTAAAAATCAACGAAAGAGCCAATATCTCTTATATTTTAATTTTTTTAAAAAAAAAAACCTATTTAGTTTGCAGCGAAACGGATTCCTAATTTTATGACATGCTTTATATATAACACGCAGGAAAAAAATGGAAGTGATTGGTAAATAATTGTGGAAGGAGTAGTATTTTGAATGCACTAATGTTTCGAAAAACACAAATTGAGAAAAACCACTTTAAAGTTTATAATTCTGAAAAAATATTTATAATAGACTTAAATAAACTTAAAAAATACCACTTTAAGATATTAGTTATACATTTTTCTTTAAAATAATTGCATTCTCACAATTGTTCAACCTATACATTTTTATAAATGATCAATTTTTAGAGAGTATTAATTGCACCAGAAAATTCCAGAAAAACATTAAAAAAAAAATTTTTTTTTCTGCCAGGACAGAAATTTTAATTTTTTTCTCCTTATAATATTGAAGTATTACATTTGTATGAAAAAAATATTAAGAATAAGAACCGAAATTATAAAATTATTAATATAAGATGCCTTTTAATTCAAAAATTTTACATGCTCACATTTCACTATGAAAAAAAAAACGATTGCATTGTATTGGCTCAGTAATATTCTGCTTTATATATTACGCATTCTTTTTTAATGTTATTATTTCGCTTTATAAAATAGATTTTTTTTTATCAAAACGCTTTTTTTTTTAGCTTTTTTACTAAAAAGGGAGCGTGGCTGAACTGCCTAATTCGTTTTCAAAAATGAAGTTTTATTCAACTTCTAACTTTCCGACATGCACAAGTGATATATCAATCAAAAGATAATAATGCAAAAATGATTAAATAAAAAAATAAAAAATGCTAGGTCTGTCATTTTGGGGGTACCAAGTTCTCTTAAAACAATCCTTTTCAGTATCAAGACATAAAAATTCAATTAGTTCTTGTTGAAAAAAAAAGGTTGTGTAGAAATAAAATTGCTTTATGTGGGTGTGTGAAGAAAAAAAGATTTTATATAATATTATATTGAATGTGTCTGTGAAAATCGCTTTGTAATCAATAGGGGTCGGGACAAGAGAAGATCACTTAAGCGTTGAATGAAAACTCAGGGCTAATTCATGCATTAAACCAGAGCTCCTATGTAGATACTACAAAGGAAGTAGCAGTGCTGAAAATGTACAGAAGAAAGAAAACTCATTTCTTGAAATGTAATGTGGCTCCTTCCTAATATAATAGCTAAAAAGGAAGCATTGAGGAATGCTTTTAAGCGCAAATTCTGTTTAATGTATTGCAAAATTGCAAATTATAAAAAGTAATATGAATTATATGTTACAATTTGAAATACTTTATATTTCGTTCCTGCGTATATTAAAGCAACCGACTCAGTCCTCAGTCATCCCGGTGTTTTTTCAAATCCTGGGATTAAAATAACTAATCCCGGAATTTAATTTTTGTCTGAATTATGTTTAAAAAAAATTTTTTTTCTCATCAAAATTTTCTAAGAATTTTTCAGAAAATTTTTATATAGAAAGCTTCCGTTTCCGAAACGAGACATTGCGCATCATTCATTGCTGTTCCCCAGTAATAAAAAAAAATTGTGATTCATTTGTCTGATGTTAATAATAAATTTTGAATTTTCTTTTCTGAATCATCAATCATGAATCATTTTCCTGAATTATCATGTTATGAAAATAAAAAAAAGATGGGTTTTTTTTTCCTTTTTCTTCTTTCTCTCTCTTTTTTATAGATCAAGAGTAAACTTTAGTAATATTACTTTGTTATTATAAGTATATTCTCATAAGTGCGATGCTGATTGCAGTGCCGTAGAGCCTGGGATCGAATCCCGGTGAAGACATGGATGTTTGTAAATGTTTAGTGCCTTCGAGGAATGGGGGTACTCTAAACAGCCATTGAGCCGCAAGTCTTCTCGTGAGGTTGGTGGCAAGGGATAAGAGGTGGGAGACCCATGACCCTTCTCCAGGGTGTTCTCCCTCAAAACTGGGGTGGAACCGAGTTGAATCGTACTGTCACCTGTTTGGTGCTCAAGGCTACGACCAACGGCAGTTGTACATCTAGCCCCTTTGTCATAATGAATTTCGTGGGTCTCGATCTGACTACATCAGAAAGGTGGCATTAGCAACAACAACAATATTCTCATAAGCTGTGTCATAATGGGGAAAACGTTTGAATTTTTTTTTTAATCTATTTTAAGCAAACCAGCTTTTATATAACAAAAATAGTTAAAGAAGCAAATTTGCGGTCTCAGAAATTTCGTTTTTAGTTAAATAATATATTAGATTACTTTTAAAATATTCTAGTAATCATAAACAAATTAAGATACTTAAACATTTCATCAACATTTATAGGTTTCAGTGATTTTTTTCTTTTTATATTCATATTACAAATACGAAAAAAATTATTAACTGCATAGAAAACCATTGAATGAAAACTGGTTTGAAGTTCATTTAGAATAAAAACACAAAAACAAAGAAATAAAGAAAAATCTTGTCTTTTTTTTTAAGTAATTACTTAAGGTATCCGACGACCCTAAAATTGTGAATTTTGCCAAAAATTGAGTTATTTTATGATTTTATTTCATTGACCATCTTATTAGCATTATACCCACCCAGCCACTATGGTGAATACGATCTTCGGCTTGTAACGGAGAGGGTTCGGTTTCTATTCCCGAGTAAGGCATGGTTGTATTTTCTTCGGGAAAAAAAGTCGGACTTTTCGCCTGTAATGAATTTCCGTCTCGAATGGAAAGCAGCACACCCCTTCTTGTTATATACTGGGATCACCATCTGTAATAAATGTGTATATTCTTCTGTTTGTATTGTATGTTTCTGTTCTTCCACTTGTATTTAATATGTATCCCGGAACAGAAAACACATGACAACAACAACATTAGCTTTATAAAAATACCAAGTTTTTTATTTTCCGTTCACTAGAACAAAAACTACGTGTTTTAGTAAAGGCAGTTGCCATTACTTTAAGCAAGATGTCATACTTTAAAATGCGTTTTATTCGAAATGTGTGTATGTGTGTGTGTTTTGTTTGTTTGTTTGTTTGTTTGTTTGTTTGTTTTTTTGAAAATGCTCAAATGGGGACATCGATTGCATTGCTCAAAAAGTTTTGAAAATAATAAACTAAAATTGTT